GTTCTATCACGATCCTTTTCAGAATAGGAATTCTTGTTTTTCTAGTATTTGAAATCATGAAAGTAGTTGATAAGAAAAGCACTATATTTACCACTTAATATACAAGAAACTTGGTAGAAGATAAAAGATAATACGAAATAGATTTAACTAAGTTTGATTTTGCTTACACTGTACTTTCATCAGATCCAAATGTTTAAGCTAACTTAGATAGATATATAAATGTACAAATTTAAGAGGTAAAATTATCTTGGCTATAAAATGGATCTGGTTATAGTCTGGATGCTAAGGATTTTCAAATATCTAAATGTCCTGCAGGCAGATTTTTGGGAGAAAATGTATAAACAGATGATTTTAACGTTGAATAAAACTATTTTTGTCTAGTTCCCTTTTAAACAGCATTGCAAGGAAGCTTCTCAACTAAGGAAGCAAAATACATTCAAATTTATGTTGGTGGTTGCAATTAAGCTATCCTGAACAAGACAAAGCCAAATTTGAAATGCGCAAATCAAACTGATATCAAAAAGGCATTAGATAGCATAGAATTTAACCTCATAGCATCAAACTAGTTTGTAGATGTAAACGAATGAAATGGAAATCCAGTCAAAACTGTTATTAAAAATTTCTATTAAACTACAAAATCAGAATTAAGCTAGAGCTTAACACTGAAACTAGGTTTGAATTTTCTAATTTAGAATTAATCTCCTTTATCAAATCAAGTTTCCTTAGAAAATATAACCTATTACACAATTAGAGCTGATGAAACCACTATTTCTGATTATACGATGTATTAGGCAGCATTAAGATATCACATTATACTAGATGACATTATTTTTACAACAAATATTGAAACTTACACAATTTTTGATGCCATTTCAAATACAGGAGGAGCTCTTGGATTTATTTCTGTAATCGTTCAAGTTTTATTATCTAAATTACAAGAAAACCTTTTTTATCAATCATTAGTTGGAGATATAATCTAAATAACTAATGAAAATACTTCATAACAAAGTATAAAGAGTAAGAATAAAGAAAATGCTAAAACTTTTGAATCTTCAAAAATTTCTAGTAATGAACTTTAAAATATTTAGAATTATACAGAATATTAGAAACTATTAGCTAGCGTTAAAAATAGAATTAGATTC